ACGGCCGAAGAGTCAGGGACTTCTTAAGAATCTGGAAATACATAGCAAAAAGGCAATCGTTCCATTTCAATTTCGGATTACAACTATTTACAAAGGGCTCGAGAACTCCCTCAAAAAATAACAAAGCCAAAAAAAAATTAAGTACAAAAGCTTCACACCACATCGTCCCCACCAGCATACTCGTCATCATACCAAGGATCAGAGGCAAGCCCATCCGCGGCATCATCATCATCATCCCCACCGGGTGTACCAGGGTCGTAACCACAAGCTTCACGAGCGGCACGTGCCTTGACACGGACGCCCTCGAGCTCTGCCTCGGAGACCTTCCCGGCAACTTGCAAAGAATTGTACACGTCAAGTTGAGCCTCGGCATGGATCCACATTTCGTACAACTCCCACGACACACCGAGATCGACAGAAATACGAGATGTAGACGGTTGTGCCTGCTGTTGTGTCTTCTCATCCCTAAGGACAACGTCTTGCTCATTTAACTTAGACAGCTCTGCCTCCAAACCCATGATCTGCTCCTCCAACCTCGCTACCTTGAGCGCCAACGTATCCGCCTCATTAGTCCGCTCGGACCTGCAAACACAGAGAACGTCATCTAGGCCCGCCGCTTCAGCCACATTGGCCATTCTGCCTTTCTCAGCCCAACCCAATTTTTCGGTCTTGGCACTCAGCTCATCCCTCAGATCGACAGCCCTTGCCTCCCTCTGCCCGAGTTCAATCGGTAAAGTCGCCACCTGCGCCTGAAGGTCAGCGTTCTCAGCCATCACCCCCTTACTCACCTCGAGCTCGTCCTCCTTGGCCTTTACCGCTGCCTCAAGCACGCTGCACCTACTGATGGCCCTCATAAGTTCCTCGTCCCTCTCCCTCAGCTCTTCTAACGAAGAAGTCCTTCTTCGTCAACTCATCGTCCTTCTGTTTGAGCCCATCACGAAGCGACTAAAACTCGCCATCCTGGCTGAGAAAGTCGGACAGCGTTCGGTGCTTGGTACGGTACTCCTTGTACTTGGAGGTGATCTTCTTAAAAATGGCCGTCCTCCGCTCCTCCCGCCGGCCGCCCTCAATCCCCATAATAAGAGTCTGACATGCAAAAAAAAAAAAGAAGAGGTCAGTGTAAGCATATTACGCATACGAAAAAAACTTAAACTAACTTGGAAAAGCACTCACTCGCAGGGCCATGCCAGAAATACCCAACAACAGATCCGCATCTTTCATCGTCTGTAACGTCGTATTCTCGAAAGCCGTGCACAGGGGAGCAAAGGCTGGCACCCCCCGTTCTGAGTTGGCCAAGAGGTCATAGTCAACAGGAATGACTATATGCCGATTAGGACCCTCCGTCATTGTCTCCACACGAGTAGCCCTCTCCACGAAGGCCCGTATCTCCTCAAGGTCGATGTCTGAGCCAGAGTCATCGTCCTCCGTAGGGACAACTCTACCTCTCCCAGCCGCCGACGATGAGCCATCCTCGCAGCCCACGTGAGCTCTCTGCCACCACGAACCTCCTAAACCTCATAGGGCCTCTTCTCCATGGTGACAACTGCCGCAGAAACGGCCTCGACGCCTGGTGTAAGCACTGATCCCGCTTCCAAAGCAACACATCTTACCGGCCCAACATCAGCGATAATGGCTTTTCTGGTCTCCACCCTTTGCCTTTTCCTCGGTGATGCCTCCTTTCCACAAGACAGCTCGTCCACAAGGTGGAAGATAGGTTGAGAAGAGATCTCATCCGGCATGGCAACAGTTTGAGGGGCAGAGTCCCTCATTGGTGTAACTTGAGCCTGACCTCCTCGAGCAGACTCGGCCAAATTAAATTGCATTCCAGCCGACGGGATGGCCTGGCTAAATGCAGGTACTGGAGCCTTCGCCTTTTTAGAAACTCGCCGACCTAGCACCAAAAGGAGGTCGCATCAAAAGGCAGTAGTGAACGACAATAAGTTAAGGTAGAAATAACACTTACTGGACGGTGTCTTGGGTCTAAAGCGCTTATGAAAGGACGCCCAGTCGCGAATTCCCACGGTGTGGGGTAACATGCGAGCCACCCAATCTTCAATATCGAAGACGGGAGAAGGTGCACGCCTCTCAGCTGAAAACAAGGAAGCCATGAGATTTGAAAGCAAAAGAAGAAAGAAAATAACGAACATACGGCAAGACACTTACGATTATAATTCCATTGCTCGGGAAACCCGGTCGGATTCGCCACCAGGTGCTCGGTCTTGATGAAGAAGTATTTATGCCAGAATCGCCTGTTCGTCTTATCATCCATCCCGACCACCAACCCTTTGATCCCACGATGTCGCAGGTGTATCAACGTACCTCTATAAAAGCTAGGCGAGAATAGATGCAGGAGATGGCAAATATTGACCTTACAGCCGGCCAACTCGGCGTACTTCGCCAGCATCAGAAAAACTTTATATAGATAAGGGGAGAGCTGCACCGGGCAAACGTTGTAAAAGAGGCAAAACTCCTCCGCTAATGGGGGGAGAGGAAGAGAATAACCGACTAAGAACGGGTAAACATAGAAAGTACAATACCCAGGCTGATGAACCTGTACTATGTCATCCCCCGCCAGAACAATCTCGACGTGAGGGAATACGGTACTTTGACCGGAGGTCGGCTATTTGACGTAGCCCCGTCTCGGAAAGTATTGGCATATATGAAGCTGACTGTGTATGCTGACTCTGTGTGTAGAAGTCCAACTCATATCCAGCTATACATGAGTTAGTGGAGTTAGTTGTAACTTATAGTTAGTTGTGGTAGTGCACGTGTTAGTATATAAATGTACAGATACTCAGATACTCGGTAATACAATTGAAGTGAAGATATCTTTTTACTCTCAAAATCAGTATTCTCTTCTTCTAGAAACTTCCGCCATTATTAACCGAGTGAGCTTCTCAACTCTAAAATGAGTTTCTACAGAAAGTTCTTGAGCAGGAGCAGGAGCGAGTTCCTTTGGGAAATCATGTCTGACCAAAGGGTTCTTGGGAACCACCTCCTCCACGGTGGGGAAACTTTCCTCCTTCTCAACCATGGATTCCTCACCGTCGGGAGGAATGGCCACCGATAAAGGAGTGGCATCGGTGACTCCGTCGTGAATATGAGGAGAAATTGACATGTTTCCGTGATAAGGTGTGTGCAGCAAAGTCAGAGAAAGAATATCAGCCGGGAAAGAAGTCAGGGACTGGAACTGAAGAAATTGCAAGAAATCGGAAATGGAGATCCGAGAAAATCAAAGAAAAATGATATGCATGCAACAAGAGGAATGCGGAAAGTTTCGAAAATCAAACCTCCCCCCCTGCTTATAGGGTTGGGTAACACCGGAATCGAGGCAAAGAGCCGTCAACGACACCAAAACCGAGCGACAGAAGCACAGACACTGCATTGGGAAGACGCGTAATGATGACGCGTGTGGCATGACGTCATCCTACGACAGCCATACCAACCGCAGCCCCGCCGCCAGTTCGACCTCAGCCGATTCGATTCAATCGTCACGACCAAATTTTCTCTGAATGGCCGCAGACAGGATCCGCTCATCGAGGACGTCCAAGAGCACGACCTCAACAAATGGAGGGACTAACTCTATTGGTCAAAATTTGGATTGGACTTAATAGCTGCAAAGGGACGTGGTCGAGGATTAAGCCGACCACGGCATGAGGCCGAAGAGTCGTCTTAAGAAAGATTAGTGTTGAGGTCGAGCAAAGGGAGTACGAAAATAGCGATAGGATAAGTTGGAATAGAAAGAAGGAATATTTCGTTCAATATTCTTTCTGTTGTACTTTTTTAGGGTTTCTCAAGAATATCCCCTATAAAGAGGAAGAGATAAAGAACAAAGAGAGGGATCTTCATTTCTTGATAAGAGCACGTTGTAAAGAGTTGATTAAGGAGAATATACAAAAGTTTTGCCTTGTTCACTGATTACTTTGTTCGAAATACATTGTTCATTCACAAGATCCAAAGATTCCTTATCTATCTTCGTGCTCTATCCCCTCCACGTTGTTGTCAGAGAGGAAGAGTCATCCAAGTCACCCAACATTTGGGTGGTAAATTCTTTCTTATTACACTTAATGCCATTATCTACATTTATTGCATGTTCTTATTGTAATATTCATTGACAATCATTGAAGTACCTGATATTTATTATTCTTGAACACGGTCCATATCATTGATATATCCCGATTTTAGATCTAGAATTAATTACATTTAACTAGGATTCATCCTCTATTTTATCATTAATTTGTTTAACAAAAAACTTAACACTTTTTGGTCGAACAAACGCCTGAACCAAACCATTGACACCCCTGCCCATAATGTATTGCTATTTTTGGCAGAAATATAGTAATTTTTGACAAACAGACCCGTAATTTTCCTAGCAGTTATTACGAGGACAACTACATTTCCAATGATATCCAAATCTTTGGTCCCGAAGCCAAATTCATTTTTGTGGTGTTTCTCATGTAATGTTAAAATTAGTAATGCTTAAATTATTTCTTATTGACTATTTAGTTTGGTATATTAAAAATAATATGCATGGCATCTTTTAAGAAAAAACAAAAATTAAAGAAACTTTGTTTGTTTACAAACACACCTTTTGGAAAATATTGGAAAGGATTTGGAAAAAATTTTAAAAGAGCAATTCTTTCTTTGTATATGCTTATCCATGTATTAAAGACAATGGTGTTGTTAATGTTATAGTTTGCTATGTATAAAAATAATACTAAATATGGTATTGGTTATACATAGATTTAAAAGCACTATCAAATAATAAATTAATAAAGTTAATATGTATTATTCTCCCTAATACATCTTACCAAACTACCCCCTAGTATTTAATAAAAGAGCCACGTCTGAGTTTGTTAATTTTAATATGTTGATTAATTCTACACGTTCGTTCTAGGTGTTCAACGAATCAACGCTATCACATCTCAACATCAATATTAACTAAGCACCAGCTCTGCCAAAAAATCCCTTTCTTTGACATTATTATCTTTCTTTATTTTCAAGGTTGACACATAATACATTAAAGAAACAAAAAATGGAATGTAGAAATAATCATATATAGATTTTATCACGCGTTTCAGGATTTGCGTTTGAATGTTCCTTTTCTTTAAGATGGTTTATAACATGGGGTTCAATTAATTTTGAGAATGATCAAAGAAAATGGGTTTTCTTGGAAGTTTGTTAGGTATTTTTGGCTTTGGAATTGGAATTTCAGTAGGTCTGGTTATTGGTTATTTCTTGTTCATACACTTTGAGCCCAGAGATGTTAAGGTAAATGCACCTGCTTTTATTTCAATGGAATGATAAAGTTATTTACTGTTTTCCTTTGATCATCTTATATAGGACAGTAACCATTTGATGATATTTCAGCCACAATCACTTATGTTAAATTATCCATTTCCTATGTTGGTTCTTGTTTACAATAGATGAACTTTCTGTTGAGCTAAAACGTCCCAAAGATACTTTTAACATGGTGTTATGTTATCCGCTTTGGACCAAGCCTGCATGGTTTTCCGCAAAAGGCTTCACACTATCTAATCATGTGGGATTTTGTTCACACACACCCAACACGTTCGACAAACAATTCACTATGTCTTCCACACGCCAAAGTTGTTGGTGCAAAATCATTCATCCTTCTGCAGAGGCAAATTAATTCAGGGTTTAGAGTCAGTGTTCAGACCGAGTGTGATCTTATTGCTCCATATGTTTTCTTTTTTATTTCTTTTCTTATACATAGTTCGAACTCGCACTAAATCCACTTCAGTCCTTCAGTATCATGTAAAGATGCAGATAGACATGTTGATATGTTTATATGTGTTAGTATAAAATTGAAGAGATACATTTTGAACAAATTTCTACTCCCTTTAAAAGTTTAACAAATGCAAACCAACTTATTGGAAAGTGAACTGAACTTCTTGAACAAAACTCTCCAGGATTTACCAGAGAGTACACCACTTGATGAAATTGAACCAAGCTCATTAGTTGATCTTCTACCTGAACTCCCATTATGGGTGATGAATCCAGACTACGAGCGGGTAAGCACTTGCCCTCTTTTGAATTTAAATTCTTTATCCTATTTTCCCAAGTGAAGGGGAGCCTTGGCGTAACTTGTAAAGTTGTTGCCATGTGACCAGGAGGTCACGGGTTCGAGCTGTGAAAACAGCCTCTTGTAGATATACAGGGTAAGACTGCGTACAAAAGACCCTTGTGGTCCGGCCCTTCTCTGGACCCCACGTATAGCAGGAGCTTAGTGCACCGGGCTGCCCTTTATCCTGTTATCCCAAGTCAAATCTTATCTAGGTAACGATCTTGTTCATATTGTTGTTGTGTAGGTTGACTGGTTTAATGAATTTATAGCCAATATGTGGCCTTATCTTGACAAGGTAATCCGAATTCGACACATGCTATTTCCAACATATCATTCATACAGTCTTTGGGATCTTACTTTTTTTTATGCCATGGAAATGGTCTGAAGTATAGCAGCATGCCTGAATAGTGCAGTCTGATTTTATTTCCTCTACAGGCAATTTGTGGAATTATTAAAAGCACAACAAAACCTATTTTTGCAGAGTATATTGGCCAGTATCAGATAAAATCTATTGAGTTTGAGCAACTTACTCTTGGAACAATTCCTCCTCGATTCCATGGTGAGCACTAACTTTCATCAAGCACATGAAATGTTGCGACGAACCACCATCTATAAGACTGGAAGTTGCGCGTGCTTCATTTGATCTCGATCAATTTGGCAGGTATTAAAGTACATCATTCCAATGAAAAGGAGCTAGTATTTGAGTTTGCAGTCAGATGGGCTGGAAATCCAAATATAGTTGTGGCATTGAAGTTATTTTCTCTACAACTCACGGTACAGGTAAGGACTAGTTTCCCTTCTGTTCTTCTTATGAAAGATAGATTGGCATAATCTTAAATTGAAAGTATTATGCAATTTGCTTTTGTGAAAGTTATCTGATTTACATCATTTCTTTTTATTGCTTTAGTAGAGCTTAATGTTTATGGAAGATACTCAGATACAACGCTATATAGAGCAGCCCAGTGCATAAAGCATCCCGCATTCACACCGGGTCCGTGGAAGGGCCGCACCCCAAGGGGTGTAATGTGTGCAGCCTACCCTGATACAAGCATCAGTTGCTGATTCCACGGCTCGAACCCGTGACCAATAGGTCACACAGAGACAACTTTACCGTTGCTCCAATGCTCCCCTTCAAGATACAACGCTATATATGTTGTCTAAAAATCGTGACAGATTATTGTTTTTAGTAATGTGTTTCAAGAACAATGAAATAGAACAGAGAATGAATCTTTATTGAACTTTTAGGTGATATTAATATGGTAACTCTCACTGAGAAATTTTACTGACGTTTGCTATATTCATCTTCAGTTGATAGATTTTCAAATGGCTGCTACAGCAAGGGCAACACTGAAGCCTTTCGTCCCAACTTTCCCATGCTTTTCAAGCATAATAGTATCGCTGACGAAGAAGGTATGTAAGCATGCAAAAATATCTGTGGCTTTTTCAAAGACTTTAACACTGCTGATTAGTTGAAAATTGCAATGAATAATCTAGAAATAGACTCGGCATAATCTGTCTAACTAAATACTATCAATCATATATGTAGCCAGAGGTAGACTTTGGGCTAAGGGTAATTGGAGGAGATTTAATGGCAATTCCTGGTTTACACCATTTTGTTCAGGTAAGCTTCCTCTTTTTACTTACTGTGCTTCTTAAGTACTAAACTCCATAGGCTGAGCTCGCATCGGATTTATAGAAGAAAGCTAATATGATACTTAAAGTCAAATGTTCCCGCACCATTTGGCACTGACACATACGTTTCGAGTTAATTATGTTACTCCAACAACCCAAACCAATACAGTTCCTAAAGAAATTAAATAAATTGGAAGATATTTGTTCACAAAGAGATGTGAAATGCACTTTGAGTCTGTAGACAGAAATAATTAGTACCGCACATTATAGAAAGGGCTCGATTGCTTTCCTGGATGCAGATTAATAGTTGTAGAAATTGCACCTTGAAATCTTATACATTGGTTTGGCTATGACCTAAAACAGTAGATAAAGCTACTGAACTAGGAAAACTGGTGAAAAGAGCAAGTAACATAACATGATTCATCTGCTTAAGAGATGTTGCTCTCAAATGAGTCTGTATTACCTAATTTTCCTTTGTAAACATTTGAATATTGTGATAGCATTATATTTGAGTTTGGCTATTGTTGTTTCATACACTCAAAAGTACATGGATCTGAATAAAGTTTTTGCTCTCCCTCCCGTTCCATGTGTTTCTAGATTCAAACTGAATATAGAACAGACAGGAGTCTTTGGTACATTACCCTCAGCTAATTTTAATGACAGTATTCATTGCGTGGCAGGAAACTATATGCAAGCAAGTCGCCAGGCTTTACCTCTGGCCACAAACACTTGATATACCAATTCTTGACAGTTCAATGTAAGTTGTAAACAAACAATAATTTACTTGAAATATCGACAATGGACTAATTCCTGACAGTCACTTGCACTTGTTGTGTTGTGATACTTGAGCATTACCGTTATAGTTTCAGCGAATACTTGAGCATTTCTTAACCTTGGTTTTGTCAGAATGAAACATCTTCCTTCTTCTCTTCCTCTTTATATCTTTGTTTCTTTGTCCATGTGCTCTGAAAAAAGACAGGCGATTATTCATGTATTTTACCATTCCTTGTATAGGGATTTATAAAGGTTTTAGTCTACTCTAATCATTGCAATATTTTGATAGTGTTTAGATTATTTTAAGTGGTATTAGAATCTATTCTGGGTAAAACTGATTTCAACAACTGATTTCTCACTATTCCAGCTAAATTTTATATTGTTTCTACCTATTCTAAAGCTCTAGACTTCAGCTATGAACTCACCTTATCGAACCATATCCATTTCTCTCATAGTCGTCATCGAGTCACTAGCACTATTATCGACACACTCTTTAGTCTCCTGAACTTATCTTTACTTCACATACACTTTTCTACTTGTTGAACCTACTCTTTATTCCGGTCCACTCTTCGTCTCTTTGAGACACATAGATTATTCCCACCAAAAGGCAAAAGAGCACCTAAATTTACATGATAGTCTTAGAAATATATGATGTCTCCTATATAAGATATCTGCCATGTGACCAGGAGGTCACGGGTTTGAGCCATGGAAACAACCTCTTGCACAAATGCAGGGTAAGACTACGTAAAATAGACCCTTGTGGTCCGGACCTTTCCCGGACCCCGCGCATAGCGGGAGCTTAGTGGATCGGGCTGCCCTTTTTGCCATATCAGATATCTAAACGCATCCAAAGTGGTTTAACGTTAAGGTATCGAGTTGGATGCTCAAATTCTTTCATATTTCCCAAATTACGAACATTAGCTTTTGTATTTTGATAGAGGAGCTGTGAAGAAGCCTGTTGGAATACTGCATGTGAAGGTTCTGAGAGCACAGAAACTTCTGAACACGGATTTTTTGAGTAAATCAGATCCTTATGTTAAACTCAGCTTAGGTGGGGACAGGCTTCCGGCCAAGAAGACTACTGTAAAGATGAACACGCTAAATCCAGTGTGGAATGAGGATTTCAAATTGACCGTAAAAGATCCCGAGTCTCAAGTTCTGCAGCTGCATCTATATGACTGGGAAAAGGTCAGAATCTTGATATCTCATGGTATTGTGGCATCATCTTGAAGTTTAAAGCTATTTAATTGTTTTGTAAAAAAAATTTGATGACTAGAATTTTCGTATCCGATTTTTTGTCGGAAGGAATTATATTGTGTACACTGTCCATCTCAAATTTCCTAAGATTTTTCACTTTGTTTCACAGATTGGGGCACATGACAAGTTGGGAATGCAAGTTGTGCCACTGAAGTTGCTGAATCCATATGAGAAGAAAGAACTAACGCTCGATTTGGTCCACAGCACAAATCCAAATGACCCTCAGAACAAGAAGGCGCGAGGCCAGATTATGTTGGAAATGTCCTTCATTCCTTTCCAAGAAGATAGCAAAAAGTTTAGTGGACCTCTTCATATTCACGAACGAAAGGAGAGTATTTCAAGCCTTTCAGATGATAACTATTCCTTGCGCGGAGCAGGTTTGCTGTTAGTTACAGTTATTGGTGCCGAAGATGTAGAAGGAAAGCACCATACAAATCCTTATGCAGTGGTAGTTCTTAGAGGAGAAAAAAAGAAAACAAAGGTGACATCTACACTCTCATATATAGTTAACCACGTAGGCCGATTCATAATTTAAACTTGACGTTTCAACCTTTAAGGTTCTTATAACAGGACCTATTGCACTTTTTGAATTATAAATTCAGAACTAATAAAGGGCAGCCCGGTGTACTAAACTCCCACTATGCGTGGGATCCGGGGAACGGCCGGACCACAGGGATCTAATGTACGTAGCCTTATCCTGCATTTCTGCAAGAGGCTATTTCCACGGCTCGAACCCGTGACCTCGTGGTCACATGACAGCAATTTGACCAGTTGCGCCAAGGCTCCCTTTCAAATTCAGAACTAATAGTTGGTGAAATTTTAGTTATTTTTCACATATAAATCTATGTTCCGCACAATAAATAGTAGGTTCAGAACCCATGCTCGATTTGCCTCTAGTTAACAATCTTATTGCGACTGTTGTCTTACCTTTAAACAACAACAACAACGACATACCCAGTGTAATCCCACAAGTGGGGATTTGAGAAGGGCAATGTGTACGCAGACCTTACCCCTACCTTGAGAAGGTAGAGAGGCTGTTTCCGGTAGACCCTCGACTCAAGGACAGATGAAAAAAAAACCGTAGCAACAAGTATGTTGCCTTACCTTTGTTTACCAAATATTTGTAGGCAAGGAACAAAACCTGGAATCCAAAATGGGAAGAAGAATTCCAGTTTGTGTTGGAAGAAGCTCCATTGAAGGACCTAATCCATATTGAAGTCAAGAGCAAGAAGAGAAGATTTGGTTTTCGGTCTAAGGTAAAGAACCATCATCACAAAACTCCTCAACTTTTCATTACTACCTTTGAATACAAAAACTGATTTTTGTTGCATGTAATTTCTGTAGGAGTTACTTGGCTATGTAGATATCCAACTGATGGATGTAATATACAACGGACGTATCAACGAGAAGTACCATCTCATCAATTCTAAAGATGGAATTCTACATGTTGACATCAGATGGAAGGTGATCTAGAATTTGGATATTAAGTTCGTCGATCCTTTCTTTGAACAATTGCATTTGTTGTATTTCTTGCCTTTGATTATAGTACAAAGGCTTATGCATCAAAATCACAGCACAACGTCCATTCTTTATTTAAAGCCATGAAAGAAATGCATACAAACATCTGCGCGCGCGCACACACATACACACACATATATGTTCATTAGTGCCTTTTGTCTTCTTCTATCAGGTGTAAGAATACTTCTTTGTGTATATTATATCAATCAATCAATCAACTACCATACTATCCTCTGTATCAAATCTGCTATAGTTAGGTTATTTGATTCTAATACTAAATAGTTTGTTCTTTTAAGGTAGATAAGAGATTCTTTATGACTTTATCCCTACTGGGACATGCAAGTTTCTAACCAAGATAAAGAAATCTTGACAAGCCTCGAAACTAATGCAAGTGTAATCAAAACAGCTACCAAGTCTTAATATCAATCACTTGACATTGTATATATGGATTCTTTATTTTCTTCCTGCTATGTTCTTAACTAAATCCATATTGATTCTATTGTGTCTATCAGTCTATGTATATCTTATACTTGTGATCTAGGACCTTTTCGTCTTCTCCTGCAATGGCGGCGCTATATATAATAAAGGTGATCAGTTGAACACCTTTCGTCAAAAAATTATACTGCATATATAGATAAAAGAAATAATATCTTTTTATACATATATATTAAATTTTGAATACCTTAACGAAATTTCTAGCTTCGCTACTGCCTGTCAGTGTAAGATTCTTAGCCCTATATATCATATCAATGAGCTATGCATCGATTCCTATTGGCAGGTGAATTTGTATGCAATTTGGCATTACAAGAACAACAACAACATACTAAGTGTGATCCTACAAGTGGTGTTTGAGAGGGTGGGGCGTATGCAGACCTTATCCCTACCTTTTGTGAGGTACATAGGTTGTTTCCAAATGAGACCCTCGACTCACAATTTGGCTTATGAATTAGTGTGAAATTAGCATGCAGATTGTGTGTGTATATGTGGAGCAGCACTAACCACAGGTTCTGTTTTCCTTGGCGGTATAGGGGACACTAAAATCTTGAATGCCTTTAGCGAAAATTTTGGCTTCGCCACTATCAGTCAGTATAAGAATGCGACATCGCAAAGGTTTTAAATCTACTTGACCATTGAGCTATGCTTTTGGTCTGTGTCAATGTAATTTTCAAAATATAATTTATAGAGGCACAAAACGGTTTTGCCTTATATGTTAAGTGTAACCTAAATCCGGCCCTGATGACGACGACAACAACAACAACAACGATATACCTAGTGTGATCGCACAAGTTGGGTCTAGGCACGGTGGGATATACGCATACTTTACCCTTACCTTGTGTGAGATAGATATGTTATTCCGATAGACCCTCGGCTCGCAATTTGGCTTATGAAATTAGTATGTAGTTGAAATCAGGAGGCGTGTGACTGTGTATATGTGGAGCAGCACTAACCATAGGTTATGTTTGCCTTGGCACTATAGGAGACACTAAAATGTAGTGTATCCTATATTTGAATCAAATAAGACGTGGTCCCTTGGGGGATATCCGATAAATGAAAAATCAAGAAAACTTTGGTGGTCCAATTGATGCACAAACTGTTGTTTGTTAGGTTGTGTAAAGGCAAATGGGTGTAGCAGATAACAAATTTCAGCAGCTGTGCCTTTGCAAGTTGCTTTTGCTATATATCCCTATCAATTAATGTGAATAAACTATAAGATGTATAATCTACAACTAGAACTGTTTCCTTATCAAAATATATCTACAACTTGAGCCGTTGTATTCCTATTACGTTGGCCCCAGACCTTCTTATGGTATTGCGAACTTATTAAAATATCAGAATCAATGTAAACCATTTCAGTGAAAAAAAATTAGAAAATAGTTCACTCTCTGCTCACCCCGTGGCTGCATGAAAATGTAAACTCAGAAGACAGCAATTTTTATGCTTTGAAATCAGTTTTGTTGGAAAAAATTAAATAAAAGAGGCAAGTGTATTATCACAAATTACAAGTGTAAGCATTTATTTATTTATACAAACAACTCTAAAGGGAGGTGTCTTACGCCTCATTTGTCCGTACTTAATAAATATTTGAATTTTAATCATCAAGTTCTCAATTAGTAAGTGCTTTAATTTTAATTATTCAAATCTAAATATTAATTGCGTCCTTTTTACAACTGCTTAATGGGTCTGAAAAGACCTAAATGATTAAGGCTATAACAAAATTTTAATATCATTAAGATGCTACGTATTAAAAGATTTCTGCAAAGATGACATCTCATTACCATTCTCTCCACTTTCACCGTTAACTGTCGTAATCACTACCCACGATTACTAACTATCACCATCGCTAATCACCACAGTCAGCTGTTACCACCACTAGACACCATTTATAATAATCACCACCAACTACCATTGCCACAATTATTTGACCGAAAAGTGTTAGGCTTTTTATTAAACTAATTAATGAAGAAATAGAGGGTGAATCCTAGTTAAGTGTAATGAATTCTAGATATGAAATTGGAGTATATTGGTGATTAGAACTGTGTTCAAGAATGACAATTATCAAATATATGTTCAATGATTGTCAATGAATGCAGTGATAGAAACATTTAATAAATGTAAATAATGACAATAAATGTAATAAGGAGGAGTTTATCACACAAATGTTAGGTGACTTGGATGATTCTCCTTCCCGACAAAAACGTGAGTTGATAGAAAGCGAAGATAGACAAGGAATCTTTGGATCTTGTGAATGAACAATGTATGTTGAACAGCATAATCAGTAAACAAGACAAGCTTTTGTATTTTCTTTCTAGTCAACCTTTTACAATATGCTCTTATCAAAAAGTGAAGATCCCCTTTTTGTTCCAAATCTCTTCCTATTTATAGGGGATATTCCTGAGAAACCCTAAAAAAGTACAATTGAAGGAATATTCCTTCTTTGCTCGACCTCGGCCCTAATCCTTCTTAAGGCGACTCCTCGGCCCACATCGTGGTAGGCTTAATCTTCAACCACGTCCATTTGCAGTTATTACGTCTAAGCCAAATTTTGACCAATACAGTAAGTCCCTCCGCTTGTTGAGGTCGTGATCTTGAACGTCCTCGATGAGCGGATCCTATCTGCAGCCGTTTAGAAGAAATTTGGTCGTGCTGATTAAATTGGATCGGCCGAGGTTGAATAGGCGGCGGGGCTGCGGTTGGTGTGGCTATCGTAGGATGACGTCATGCCACGCGCGTCATCATTACGCGTCTTCCCAATGCGGTGTCTGTGCCTCTGTTGCTTCGGTTTTTGTGCCGTTGACAGCTCTTTGCCTCGATTCCGGTGTTACCCAACCCTATAAGTAGAGGTGAGGGGTCTCATTTTTCAAAAATTCCAGCATCCCTCTCGTTGCATGCATATCGTTTTTCTTTGATCTTCTTCTTGGATCTCCACTTTCGATTTCTTGCAATTTCTTCAACTTCATTCCCTGATTTCTTTCCCGACTGATATCTTCTTTCTTCGACTTTGTTGCACATACTTTACCACAGAAATATGTCAAATTCCCCTCATATTTACGACGGAGTCACTGATGCCACTCCTTTAACGGTGGCCATTCCTCCTAGTGGTGAGGAATCCATGGCTGAGGAGGAAGGAAGTTTCCCCACCGTGGAGGAGGTAGTTCCTAAGAATCCTTTGGTCAGAAACTTCCCAAAGGAACCCGCTCCTGCTCAAGAGCTTTCTGAGACGGGGCTGCGTCAAATAGCCGACTTTCGATCCAAATATCGTATTCCTCCTCACGTAGAGATTATTCCGGCGGGAGACGACATAGTTCAGATTCACCGACCTAGATATTGTGCCTTCTACGTTTACCCGTTCTTGGTTGGTTATTCTCTTCCTCTTCCCCCGTTAGTGGAAGAGTTTTGCCGCTTTTATAACGTCTGCCCGGCACAGCTCTCCCCTTATTTATATAAAGTTTTTCTGATGCTGGCGAAGTATGCTGAGTTGGCCGGCTGTGAGGTCAATATTTGCCATCTTCTACATCTATTCTCGCCCAGCTTTTATAGAGGCACGTTGATACATCTGCGACATCGTGGGATCAAAGGGTTGGTGGTCGGGATGGATGATAAGGCGAACCGGCGGTTCTGGCATAAATACTTCTTCATCAAAATTGAGCACCTGGTGGCGAACCGGACCGGGTTTCCCGAGCAATGGAACTATAATCGTAAGTACATTGCCATATGTTCGTTCTTTTCTTTCTTCCTTTTTTTTCTTTTTGACCCTTATGGCTTCCTTGTTTTCAGCTGAAAGGCGTGCACCTTCTCCCGTCTTCGATATTGAAGATTGGGTGGCTCGTGTGTTACCCCACACTGTGGGAATTCGTGGCTGGGCATCCTTTCACAAACGCTTTGGACCCAAGACCCCGTCCGGTAAGTGTTGTTTCTAACTTAACTTATTGTCGTTCAATATTGCTTTTTGACACAACCGTCCTTTGGTGCCAGGTCGACGAGTTTCCAAAAAGGCGAAGGCTCCAGTACCTGCATTTCGCCATGCTGTCGCATCGGCCGGAATGCAGTTTGCTTTAGCTGAATCCGCTCGTGGAGGTCGGACCCAAGTTGTGCGAATAAGGGACTTTGCCCCTCAAACTGCTGCCGTGCCAAATGAGATCTCTTCTCGGCCTATCTATCATCTTGTGGATGAGTTATATCACGGCGAGGAGGCCTCGCCAAGGAAAAGACGAAGGGTGGAGACGGGAAGGCCATTGTTGCTGATGCTGAGCCGGAAAGGTTTATTGCTTTAGGAGCGGAATTTGTACTTACACCGGGTGTCGAGGTTGTTTTTGTGGTGGGGGCCGTTGTGGAGAGGAGGTCCTCTGAGATTGAAGGGGTTCGCGATGGCGGAGAGCTTATGCGGGCTTCTAAAGGTGGCTCGTCATCAGCGGCTAGGGGAAGTAGAGCTGTCCCTGTGGGGGACGATGACTCTGGTTCGGACATCGACCCTTAGGAGATACGGGCCTCCGTGGAGAGGACTACTCGTGTGGAGATAAGGACGAAGGGTCCTAACCGGCATATAGTCATTCCCGTAGACTGTGACCTCTTGGCCAATTTAGAACGGGCGGTGCCGGCCTTTGCTCCCCTATGCGCGGCTTCCGAGAATACGACACTACAGACGCTGAAAGATGCGATTCTGTCGTTGGTTATATTCGGCATGGCCCTGCGAGTGAGTTTGCTTTTCCATGTTAGGTTTAAGTTTGTTTCATACGTGTAATTTGTTTTACACTGACCTCTTCTCTTTTTTTGCATGTCAGACACTTATTATGGGGATCGAGCGCGATCGGTAGGAGGAGCGGAGGACGACCATTTTTAAAAAGATGACCTCCAAGTACAAAGATTACCATACCAACCACCGAACGCTGGCTGACTTTCTCAGCCAAGATGGCCAATTCCAGTCGCTCCGTGACGGGCTCAAACAAAAGGACGATGAGCTGACGAAGAAGGACGAAGAGTTGAAGGAGAGGGACGAGGAGCTTATGAGGGCCATCAGTAGGTGCAGCGAGCTTGAAGCTGCGTTAAAGGCTAAGGAGGATGAGCTCGAGGTGAGCAAGGGGGTGATGGTCGAGAATGCTGACCTTCAGGCGCAGGTGGCGTCTTTAACGGTTGAACTTGAGCAGTGGGAGGCAAGGGCCGTTGTTTTGAGGGATGAGCTGAGTGCCAAGATCGAAGATTTGGGTCGGGCTAAGAAAGTCAGAATGGCCATTGTGGCTGAGGCGGCGGCCCTAGATGACGCTCTCCGTGTTTGCAGGTCCGAGCGGACTAAAGAGGTGGAGACGTCGGTGCTCAAGGTGGCACGGTTGGAGGAGCGGATCATGGGTTAGGAGGCGAAGTTTTCGGAGTTAAATGAGCAAGTCGTTGCCCTGAGGGCCGAGAAGACACAACAGCAGGCACAACCGTCTATATCTCACACTTCTGCCGGTCCTGGTGTATCGCGGGAGTTGTACGAAATGTGGGTCCATGCCGAGGCTCAACCTGACGTGTACAAGTCCCTGCAGGTTGCCGGGAAGGTTTTCGAGGCGGAGCTTGAGGGCGTCCATGTCAAGGCACGTGCAACTCATAAAGCTTATGGTTACGACCCTAGTACATCCGGCGGGGATGATGATGACGATGTCGTGGATGGGCTTGCCTCTGATCCTTGGTATGATGACGAGTATGCTGATGGGGACGATGTGGCGTGAAGCTTTTGTACTTAGTTTTTTTGGCTTTGCTATTTTTGTGGGGGCGTTCTCGAGCCCTTTGTAATAAGTAACGTAATCCGACAATTGAAATGGAACAATTGCCTTTTTGCTATGTATTTCCGGATTCCCGTTCTCTTCTTTTTTTTGGTTTGCTATGCGGGAAAGTCCCTGATTTTTTGGCCATTTGCATGTAATGTCGATTTTAGCGTAGTCAAACATAAACCGACTTGAGGCCGAGTATTAATTAGCTCGAATGAGTTCGAGGTATGATGAGGTCAAAAATCAACTAATTCGAGCGAGTCGAATGTGAATGATTCAAGAGAGGTCGAATGTGAATGATTCGAGCGAGGTCGAATGTGAATGATTCAAGCGAGGT